TTCTTATATTAGAAAATGTGAAAGTGTCCGCCATTCCACAAAAACCAAAATGGATTAGCTAAACTGCTCCTAAAATATGGAAGCTGGATGATGTTGTTCTTCAGTTCCAGCTAAAATGTGTACAGCATTGCCTTCTTCCTCTTACTGGAAGCGGTGAACTCCTCATACATGGATGTTTTCCATACCGCTTTTTTTTAAAGACATGTCAGCTGTTTGAATTAGAGCTAACCTGTTCATAGATGAAGAAAGGAAGCTTTAGTTGGGGCCTCAAAGGACACTTATTTATCAACTTTCAACCTCTTTTTATACAGCATTTGTTATATCTCTTTTTTGACAAGATAATAGGTATCCAGGGGAGCACTTAGCTCATTACGCAAAGTTTAGTCTTTCTGCTACAGTGTAATAGACTGGTAGCATTGTAAAGGGAAGTTAAAACTGTCATATTAAGCTTCCAGCTACATAACTGCTCTTGGAGCCTCATATTCCTTTGGTAGTACCTTAATCCAGATGCTGAGAGGATTTAAGTTAGTTCATATCTAGAACCCTTCAGCAGGGAAAACCAGCTTAGCATGCTGCATGAGCTAGAAGGAATCTTGTGCAGGGAGTGGGCCAGGAGTCCAAGAACTTCACTGCTCAGTTCCTTACACAGACGGTTTTATTTCAGGTGCGGTTTGCTGCTCTGCTTGCTCTGCTAGAAGTTGCAGGAAAACTGAAGGAGAACTACCTGATTCTGCTACCAGAATCTATTCCATTTCTCGCTGAGCTCATGGAAGGTAATCACTGGGCATCAGTCTATGTAGTTACAGTGCAAGACACAAACTGACATGTGTTGTATTTTATCCACCACACGCTTAAAATTTTAAGGCTGCTTCTTGAATGCCATAGCTGTGCAGATGTCCTGAGCTGCACAGTTTTAATTTGTTCCAGCCTTGAAGAATAATGAAATCTGCTTCTGCTTGCTTTGTAGTAACTGTTTTATTTACTTTTCCTCCTTTGATTTTGTTTTCTAGATGAATGTGAAGAAGTTGAACACCAGTGTCAGAAAACAGTTCAGCAACTGGAGGTCATTTTGGGCGAATCACTTCAGAGTTACTTTTAAGTTATCTCCTTTGTTTTCATCTTTGGTCTGGTCTGTCTCAGGTTCACTTCAGAGGGAAGTGGCAGAGGCAAGGTGGCCTTCTCATTTTTATCACAGTTTTTTTTTTTTTTTAATAAAATACTGTAAGAATATGGCTATGTCACTTTTGGCTAGTTTGGGGACTGGCCTGGCTTTGTTCTTCTGCAGACAGCTGCCTTCCCTGAGATGCAGAAGGAACTGGAGCAAGCTGATGGGTACGTGCAGAGCTGCAGGACTGTCCCTGCAGTCCCCTGGTGTAGGGGTGCCCCCTCACATTCCCTGGGACTTGAAGCTGCCCGGTGCTGGCTCTCACTGAGCGCAGCTACTGCTGCCTTTTTTGGATTTCTTAAGGAAGGAAAAAAATGATCCCGCAGAAGATAGTGAAGTTGTAAAACAACACAGGATTCAGGGAGCACCACCTATTTGTTTAGCTGAAGATCAACTTGAAATATTTTATGTTAATGAATTTGCCCCCCCAGCAACACACTGCTGCAGAGAAAGGTAAGACAGTAAGTGAAATGAGACAAGATATAGACAAAGAAAGAACATCACTACTTGCCAACTGAAGAAAAACATAGTTTGTAAGTTTTATTTTCTTTTACAATTTTTATACATCACCCAGTAGTATCTTTTTGGTTACATCTTAAGTCTTGAAGCTGGTTCAGTCTTTTAGCAGATACTAAGATAAATAGGAACATCTTTCAAGCATGTATTGACAGGCAGCAGCTACTTTTTAAAAATAACTATAGAAGTTAAGACTGTTGCCATTTATGTAAAGAAATTGAATTGGTACAACTTGTTCAGATAGTGTTTTAATATAAATCTGAAAAAGGATTTATTCTCCCTGATGAAGATCCAAGTCTTCTCAAATGAAACTTTACCTGGCACCTAGGCTAAGAGGTTTGAAAATGAGATCTACACGAGTTCTATGAGCCTTTTTAACACAGTAAGGAGCCCTTTCAGATCAAATAATGGATTTTCAGAAGAAGCTGATGACACTAGGAAATTTTGCTTTTTTTTTGGGGGGGGGCGGGGGGGAAGGCAGCAAGTTGCACTTCATTTTGGAAAATGAAAGCTAGAAATCCAGGTATGTAGTTGATTTAGGCCCATTATAAGTAGAGTCAACACAGCCATGAAGGTCAGAGATGATAGAGATGATGCTACTGCAG